CTATGAGCTCTTCGCCGTGACCGGCTGAAGCCATAGTTGGTTTGACGTCTGAGAGGTAACACTCCTTAGCCGTCTTTTGGTCCCTATTTAGGGCACCGACTGTCCCATCATCCTTCTAAAACTTGAACAACATGAGAGACGGGATGATGACTGCCTTGGACTCGTTGAGGGTGGGGCAGCCAAAAATCATATTGTAGGCGGTCAGTTCCTCAACAACTAGGAACTTGACGACCATGTGCCGCCCTTGCCCCTTTTCTCCCAGCCGGATGGGTAGGTCAATCCTTCCCACCAAATGCACCACCCCTCCCCCCAAACCGACTAAGGGGTGAGGAGCCTCATGCATGTTGCTGGGCTTGTACTTTAGCTTTGTCAAGCACTGATAGCTTATCAAGTCAGACGAGCTCCTGGTATCGATCAGGATCCGGCCAACTCGTTGATTGGTAACCTTGCATTCGATGACAATGGGGTCATCGTGAGGCCGTCTGACCTGGCCTCGGTCCTTTTCAGAAATAAGGACCTTAGGAAAGGAATCTTTCGACGCCTGGCCCTCATCTACTGACTTGACCAGCCGCCTGATGTTATCCTTAGCACCCCGGATGTTATCCACCCGCAAAATCGCCTGCTATGGTGAAGACTGTTTCTTCATCTGTTTCAGAATTAGCAGCCGGTGATTTGGACGGATGCCCCTTGTTTATCTTAGGGTTACCCTTGGATTTGGGTTAATAGGACTTCAGGGCCCCCTCGTCAGCCAGACGGTCCAACAGCCGCCTGAGGCTATAGCAACCGTTGGTGTCGTGGCCAACATCCTCATGGAATTGACAGTATTTGCTCTTGTCCCGGCTGCTGACCGGACTTTTTATTGCTGCCGGTTTTTCAAGAGTCAACCGGTCTTTGATCTCCATGAGGATGGAGGAGTAGTCCTTGGTGAACTCTTACTTTGGGACGTACGGTTCTGATTTTCGTCGATTCTTCTAGGCCGACTGACCAGATCGATCTGCCGCCCATACTTCTTTTCTTTTCTTTTCTTCTTTTTTGTCGGCTGGGATGGCCGGCTCTCTCTCCGTTCAGACTTTTTGGGGTCCGACGGGTGCCTCACGGCACAAAGCTCCCTCGCCTGTATATAGGCTTCAGCTTCCATTAATGCCTCTTGGAGGGTGGAAACCCTCTTTCTAACCAAGTCGAACTTGAAGGTCGACCCGTCTTTCAGACCCTTGAAGAAGTCTGTGTAAGCAACGTCGTCAGACAGCCCTTGAATCTGAATTCTCATCAGATTGAACCGCCTGACGTAGGACCTAAGTCCTTCCTTCTCTCCCTGCTGTATGGCTCCAAGGTCGAGGCTCGTTTTCTTGGCAGGGATGTTTATTGAGAAGTTCGACGTAAATAAGTACGCCAAAGTTCTGAAGTTGTTGATGCATCTGGCTGGCAGGTTGCCAAACCATCGTTGGGCTATGCCCTTCAATGTAACCGGGAAGCACCGACACCAGGCAGCATCATCCAACCCCTGTAAGTACATGAGGTTGGTGTAGGCCATTAGGTGATCTTCTTGGTTGGCGGTACCGTCATAGGTACCAATCAACACGTTTTTCACCTTATCCGGCTGTGCCGCCTCGGTAATTTCCCTGGAGAAGGCCGTTAGCTGTTCCCCAAGGTTAAGCAGCCGGAGCTGCCAGTCCATAGGTTGGACCGGTTGTGCCGCCTGACCCCCGAAGAGGGCCGGCTGCATGTATGGAGATCCATACGGCATGTACGGTGACTCGTAATGTACCGGCTGGATAATTTTGGGACCAGAACGTGCGGAAAGACCGCACAACTGACTCCCTTTGTCTGATTCTGAATGCTTCATGGAATCATTTCGGAAGCTGTCTGGGTAGGTCGACGTTGAAGCTGACGCGGACAGCTGTAGACTTCTCTTTTCCTAGATAAGCATCCAGGCATCAGAGTAAGTCCTCTTTGATCCATCTGGCTGTACTTGGCGGATGGGCTTCCTTTGCCCTGTCTCGGGGAAACGAAGCTTTGAAACGTCGATCGTGGACCCATCCACCACCTTTGGTTTCGGGTGAGGGGTAGGCACACGATCTTTCAGCACCTTCTTCCCGGAGGACGGGAGCTTCTTAGCTGGCTGACCCTTATGAGGGCCAGTGGACTTGTTTAAGAGGCTCTTGATCTCGCCCTTGAAACTTGTCATGAATTTCATGAGTTCGTCTCCCGTGACGGGAGCAGCACCTTCTGCCGCCCGGGTTGTCCCAGTCGGCCTGCCAGTTGGGCTGCCTGGAGCAGCCTGACTTCCACCCCGCTCCTTTTTTTCTTTGGAGCAGATGTGTTTTGTTCTGAAGGACCCGTCTGGGGCCGCATAGGTGTCGATTTTATAATTGTCACCACTTTCTTGGTCCGTATGGACCTCAGGCTTGATCGTAGGCTGTTTGCCTTCATTCGTTGGTACAGTTTCAGAAGCCACCTAGGAAGTACTCTCCCCACAGACGACGCCAAATGTTTTGGGGGTTTTTGATGTGTCCTGCGGGAAAGTTACAATCCCTAGTATGTGCAACCGACGCCTGTACCTGCAAAACCACGAAGACTCCGGTTGATAGGAGCTCTGCCTTCGACGATCAATTCAGTAACGTACAGGAGGTAATAAGTGCGGAAATAGTAATTACTCTTCGCTGATATAGGAGGATTCTGCAATTATATGCTCATTTATCAAATGAGCACATAATTATTTGCTCATTTATCAGACGAGCAAACAAATCTTTGCTCATTTATCAAATGAGCAACAATTCTTTGTCCATTTTATCAAATGAGCAAACAATTCTTTGTTGATTTATCAAATGAATTGATTAAAAATTTATAACATAGAAAATGATTTAAAACATATGATAAAACCTATTAGCTCAATTGGTAAAGCATTATGCAAATGCATATGGGATGTATGTTCAATTTCTACATAGGTTATCTCTATAAACAAATTAATTAAAAAAAAATCAAATTCTTACTAAATTATATGAGCAAAAAACTGGTTTGAAATGATTTATAACTATATAAATTTTGTTACAATTAAACTCTCATACAAACTTGTGTCTCCACTTTACATAAAGAACCTACGTGGGATTTGAACCCACATCTTTTGTGCATTTGCACAATGCTCTACCCTTTAGCTAGTAGGCTAACGTATTTAAAACTGGAATGAGCAAACATTTGTTTAATTATTCATTAAATCAGCAAGCTGGAAAAATGCTGGAATTACTCAATTACAATTTGTTTTGTACTTATGCTCACATAAAGCTGGAAAAATCAAATTCCAGGTTTAGTTGAGGCAACTTCTTCAACGCTAGATGTGGCCATTGTAGACAATGCCTGGATCAAATAATCACACATGCAAATCAAAGAATGAATTTGATGCTTAAGGTCAGAAATAGAGGAAAAATAGGAAGGGAAAGAAATGTGAGTCAAAACCATAATTGTGCCAGCAGCAGATGCTGCCCTCGTTGTTGCAAATTCTCCTGAAAGAAAATGATCACTTCAAAAAAGGAGGTTTTTCCAGTTTCTCAATTCAGCACAGAGTATCTATACAGCAAGCTTAGACAAAGAAATTAAACACTCCACTATTCAGGAGGAAATAAATGTCATAGTAGAAACAATAATAGCATGGTGAGGATGCCCTGGGGAGTCTCAGATATATGCACCTTATGCAGGTACATGCCACATTATATACTTTAAAAGCAGGAACTAATGTAAAATGTGGCTCATGAGACTGTAAGACTAGAGTATTGACGAGTGTCAGACTGTGAATACTATTAATTAAAGTATCATATTCATATATGATAGAGCATCTAGTTTAGAGCATTTGATTCAAAGCATTGATCCAATATTGCTTTTAAATTAAAATGAAATATCAAGTTGATTGAGCTTTTTAATATTCAGATCATAACTCAATGTATTACTAAAGCCTACAGGCTACAGGATAGCAGGTGTCTGCTGGCCTTGTGTTAATTTTGACCAGCTATCCTGAAAACAAGAGTAGTAGTAACCATAACAAATTGCATATTGAGGATACTTTTAGAATGACTTGCATTAGTTTTTTGCATATGAGCATCAATAAACCAAAACACAGATTGACATATCCTGAAAGCTTAGTTTCTCATTATCATTTGGGAAATGAGCAATCAAATTTTTGATCATTTGGGAAATGAGCAACCAATTTTTTTACTCATTTAGCAAATGAGCAAATAGTTAGTTGCTCATTTGTCAAATGAGCAAATACTTAGTTGCTAATTTAACAAATGAGCAAAAACTTAGTTGCACATTTGTCAAATGAGCAAATAGTTAGTTGCTCATTTGTCAAATGAGTAAACATTTCTTTAATCATTCATTAAATCAACTAGTATTTCTTTGCTCATTTCATCCACATGAGCAATCAACAAGCATATGATATTCTTGTAATAAGCAGAGTATCATCCACATTCATTCAAAAATCTCAATAATAACACAATGGAGTTATAGGAAGCTGACTCAGAGATACATAAGTTCATGTAGGTCTGAGGTTGTTTGTCCACTTGCCTCCATTAGCACAGATTGGTAAATGCACATGGAGATCAGAGGATCTCCTCGAACTATGAGAGAAAAAGGGAGGGAAAAAAAGGGTACTATAATTGAAAACAAGGGATTTAGAGAAGTTGTGAGGAATGATCAGCAGTAGCTGACGTTTTCCTTTGAAGATAGAAAATTGCACATCGAGTATATAGAAGCTGTAGCCCTCCAAAGTTGCAGCCAACTTGGTTGCGCAATTCAAACCAAACATACAGGTTTAACTTCCAGCACATAAAAGAATCTTCAAGCTGCAATTCACTTTATATACAATTTCAGCTCTAAAGTTAACATGTGATATAATGCTCCATACAATTCTATGTTATGAGTCATGTGTTTTGTGATTACCATAGGTCTAATTGTTATCATCAAAAAGCCACATATAATACAAAGTGTTTTGAATAGTACGTACAGTCAATCAAAGTAGAAATCTTAAAGTACAAGTGGAGGTATTATCATGTGTAGGGATTGAAGGACGGAAGGAAAAGTGTAATAAGATTTAAAAGGCATCGCATGATATTAACAGAAAAAAATTTGACAGTCCTAAGGTAATGAAGTTTAGTGTCCTAAGTAGTGAAATAGTGTAATAAATGCCACCCTGTTTCCTATTCTAGTTACACATACATGCTAAATCATTTTAATCTAAAAGTAAGCAGTATATAGCTGAATGAAATGAACATATACTCTCATTAAAGCAATAGTGACAAGGAATAAAGCTCTGCCTTAAATTTTTATCTACAATTCCCATATGTTGCATCTCAAATATAGCGTTCCAATGTACATGTTTCAGGCCTTGATCACAATGAAACATCATTTCATTTACTTGGTTCAGCGAGCATTCCTACCACAAGTGAAATACGAGTAATTTTAGTTGCTTTCATCTAACTAAAATATTAGCAAATGACTTTTAAGAAGTATATACAAAGTGCTCAAATTGTAATACTAAATTACCGTCTTCTTCTTAACTAACCAGTTGTTTCTCTTCTTCGGAAAGAGAACTATCCATCTGGTTGAACAACTAATCAGTATAGAATATTTATATGGGCATTTTACCTTTAGTGTATCATCATGTGTGTTGAATGTGTTCATCAGAACCAAAGGCACTTTGGATCCATACTTGTTGTTAAGGTTCCGAGTTGTATATATATAAAAAAAACACTAATGAACATCAGCCTACCATATTTGGCTGTATTGATTCATATGTATCTGTCCCTATATGTGTATGAAGATTCATATTAATCATATGTAGCTCCAATTTACAAAAACATAGCTGAGACCAGAGAGAATTGCTGGATTTCGTTTCTCTATTCTGCAAGAAAATCTGTACAAAAGTGGATTAACAGTTATGCTGTACCTCCTATAAACAAAATTACAGTAAGCTTTAATGAACCAGCCCCTCTGAAATTCTAGCTTTCACATCTCCTAGCCCTTTCAATGCGCAAGCTGTACGACTACTGTTGGAGCAAAGCACCTTTTCCCCACAGCCTTGAGGTTTGTCACTTGCCAACCAAGACCTTCCTGGTATCGCTCGACCTGTTATCACATTTCATGAGAAATCATATACAAGTGTAAATATTTTAGAGAAGGAAAGGAATATGGTGAGCACAGACATGACCAACCTAATACGGAAAGCCTAATGCAAGTTGAGGTAAAGGAAGTGAAAGCTTAACCACAATTCTAGCAAGAAACAAAACTCATTACAGGAGAACTATTAGTAATTGATATTGCAGAACGAGGAAGAAAGAGAAAGGAATGCGCCTTATCCAGAACATTCTCATTTCCTCTCATTCCCCTAATTGCATATATCCTATCATTCAATACAACAGCTGTTGAATATCCCCTTGAGTGGTTCATTGGTGCCTCACTCATCCAGGTCCCTCGACGAGGGTCAAATACTTCAACACTGGCTACCATATTTCTTCCATCAAAGAACGATAATGCTGAAATATCAAAAAAAATGGAAGTGGATAATCAAACAAAAAAACAAACTGAATAATCATAGAAAAAAATTGAACACAAATAAGATGAAATTAAAATCGAAAGCAACAAAACAATAAAAAATGGAACAAAAATAGACTTAATAAATTTGATCAAAAAATTGCTCAAAATAATCGCTCTGAAATGCACTCATGAAATTGCTCTGAAATCACATGGATTCAATTAAAAAAATCGACTCAGAAATCGCATAAATCAATTAAAATGGAACATAACTCGAAAATCAAGCATAAATCAAACATAAAAAGAGCATATAAATCACAAAAATCAGGGAAAAAATTGAAAAAAACGTAAAAAAAAAAAAAAAAAAAAATGCAACAAAAATCATGAGAATATATAAAATAGAATATAATGAATAGAAAGAATTGAATCATAAGAATTGAATAACTAACCTTTATTTCTTGAAGTAAACCCTAATTTCTTGAAGGAATTTGCACCCATATTTATGAGAGGAGAGAGCTGTTTGATGTAAGTCTAGATAGAGAAAAAGAAAGGGGAAACAAACCGTAAAATAAATCAGATCGTGAATGAGGAGAAAGAATGGGGAAAGTATGCATTAAAAATTACAAAAGTGCCATTAATAACCAATTCATTTTGAGTGGTCAGATCAAATTTAACCCTACGGTCCAGATTTTTTTTATATATATTGCTCTTCTGTTGCAATTAATAAGAAACAGTGATTGTATTATGTATCCGGTTGATTGGTCACCCCAGCTTGCAAAACGCTGTACAATCACATTCATTTATTTTTGGGTTTTCTATATAGTAACCTCGTCTTTTGCACTTTTCTACGCTGTGCCCTAACATATATGACTTTCTACGCTGTAACCTGAAAGTACGAAGAGTCACTATATGGTGACCTCGCCATTAAAATGTCGTTAGTTGCTTTCGTTAACTTTAATGACACTACTAGAAATAGACTTAATTCCGACGGACTGCAATTCCCTCGGAATATTCGAAATTTCCGGCGGAAATTGGAGTTGTAGGAAAAATCCGTCGGAAAAGGTACGTTATGACAGAAAAATCCGTTGGAATTATTGCGACGGATTTGTATTCTCTCGGAATTAACCTCTTCCGACGGAATATTCCGCCGAGAAAAAAATTTCCGACGGAATATTCCGTTGGAAGAAATTAATTCCGAGGGAATTAATTCCGTCGGAACGTTACATCAAATTAAAAAAAAACCTGGAGTTTAATTTGTTTTTTGCGACAGAAAAAAAACCCCAAACAGGAAGAGAGAGAAAGGGAGAAAGAGGAAGAGAGAGAAAGGGAGAAAGAGAAAGAGAGAAGGAGAAAGGGAGAAGGAGACCTCACCTCCACCACCAGCCGCCGGTGTAGGTAAGTCTCGTTTTTTTGGTTTTTTTTAAATGTTACCGGAATTCACCATTAGCAGCGCCGAATTTCACCACAAACACCAAGGCTTCACCGGAATTCACCATAAGCGCCGCCGTTGGATAGTGGTAAGTGTTTACCCCTTTTTTTTTTTAAATAAACTGTTTTGGGGTTTTTTGGGGGTTTTTATGTGCTTTTTTTTTTTTTTTTTGGAATTGCTACTAATAGCCACAACCCCCACAACCACGAACCAGTCAGCCACCGGTCTGCAACTAGTACTACAGGTGCAGATCTACATGTTAGAGACTATATAAAACCTAAAATTATAAGTTTAGTTTATACTTGGCATGTTAGTCGGTAATTGTATTTAGATATATGTTAGTTTATTATTGTTTTTAGTGTAGTGTATACAATTTGTTGTATTTATATTTTAATATGTTGAAATATTTGAAATGAATTTGTTTTTGTTATGATATGTTAGTTTAGTTTAGTTTATTTAAGTTTAGTTTTTAATTGTTGTATTATAACATGTTAACATAGTTTGGTTTAGTTCATTATAATAATGTATGTTAGTTTAGTTTATTTTAGTTTAGTTTAGTTTATTTTAGATTAGTTTAGTTTAATGTAGTGTATGTTAGTGTATTTAGTTTAATATTTTTGTTTGATATAATGTTTAATATAATATTTAGTAATTGTGCTTATTTATTTGCTTAGTTTAGCTTAATTATGATAAATCTCTGTGTAGTATAATGCACGTGACCTTCACTTTATATATATATAATAAATGAATCATTTTCATAATCATTTGCCCAGATACCCGTTCAAGGCATACACATTAGGAGTATGTCTTGAATAGTCCCCGGTTGGGACTGTCCTTGTACGCTTATTCTCACTTAGGTGGTGAATGTAAGCCTTGCTTTTGATTCTAGGGAAAATCTTGCCTTTTCATTTCTCTACAGTGTTCTCTGGGTACATATGTAGGTGTGTTTAATCGCCTACATCGTGTACTTGGAGAACTGTAGGGAAATGTTGGCGGATTTTCCGTAGAATTGAAAACCTGGCTTACATTCACTAGTGGGATTAAACGTACAAGGATGGGTTAGGTTGGAGTGATAAGGACCCTTTGGAAGCATTTCAAATCTCATTTGCATTTCCATAACACTTTGATGGATAATGATTAGGAAATACGCTTTGTGACTAATGTGGTTATACATATGCGTGAGTTGTGTAGAAGTTGTAATCATGAAACAAACAGAACGTAGCTGGATGTATGAAAGGAAGGTTGGGCAATATGTTAATCCAGAGTTCGTGAAAGGGGTTGATGAATTCATGAAATACGTCAAAGATAATCCCGAGAGTAGCAACCCGAATGAAGTTAGGTGTCCATGTGCTAAATGTAAGAACAAACGGCTTTGGGATCCAGATACGGTTAAACTTCATTTGTTTCGCGCGGGTTTTATACCTAATTACTATGAGTGGATGTGTCACGGGGAAGGGTTTCCGACAGTTCCTGAACGGGGGTCCAATGAATATCGTGAAATGGTTTTCGATGCTTTTGGTCATAGTCAGGATCAAGGGCATTCCGAGCAGGCCAGTGTTTCATCAGAGGAGGAGCCTAATGCACAATCTACGCATTTTCTGGATTTGTTGAAGGCTTCTGAAAGGCCATTATACGAAGGGAGTTCGTTGTCTGTGTTACAGATGGCCGCTAGAATCACCAGTCTAAAGTGCGAGTATAATCTGCCCCATAGATGTGCTGATGGGTTTGTTTCTTTGCTCAGTGAAGCAATTCCTAACAACAATCAAATGGTCGACACATTCTATGAGGTGAAAAAGATTGTGAAGGGCTTGGAACTGCCTCATGAAAGGATTCACGCTTGCCTGGAAGGATGTATGTTGTTTTGGAAGGATGATGCCCAACTGTCTACATGTAGAGCGTGTGGCAGCGATCGATACAAGCAGACTTCCAAGGGTAGCCTAGTGCCTTTGAACGTTTTGTTTTATTTCCCGATCACACCCAGGTTGCAAAGGCTGTTTACAACCAAGAATATTTCAGAGGAAATGACATGGCATTCGAAAAATCCTCGAGTTCAAGGCACTATGGCACACCCTAGTGATAGTGAAGCCTGGAAACACCTCGATAGTTGCTTGCCAGAGTTTGCCTACGAGCCTCGTAATGTTCGGCTTGGCTTGTGTACAGATGGTTTTGCTCCTCATGGCAAGTTTGGAGGCCAATATTCTTGTTGGCCTGTCATTTTGACCCCTTACAACCTGCCTCCCTCAATGTGTATGAAAAGACAATTTATGTTCCTTTCGTTGCTCGCTCCTAGTCCTAAAAACCCTAAGGGCAACTTGGATGTGAACATGCAACCGTTGATAGAGGAGTTGAATCATTTGTGGGAAGTTGGTGCGCATACGTACGATATTTCCACGAAACAGAATTTCAATCTTCGAGCAGCCATCCTATGGACCGTTAGTGACTTCCGGGCTTATGGTATGTTGTCCGGTTGGGCCACATCTGGTAAGAAAGCTTGTCCATATTGCATGGACAAAAGCAAAGGAATTTGGCTAGAACATGGTTGTAAGGTTTCTTGGTTTGATTGCCACCGCCAGTTCCTTTCGACAGATAACCCTTTTCGGAATAGTAGAACTGCGTTCTGTAGAAACAAAGTCGAAAAGGGTGCACTTCCACACATTATGTTAGGAGAGGAACTGTGGGAATGTGTGAAAGACCTTCCGAAGGCTACAGATGGGTCCGAGTCACTTCAACGCCTCAAAAAAGAAAAGAAGGGGTGGTTCAAGAAAAGCATATTATGGGAGCTTCCATATTGGAAGCATCTGCTTATTCGTCACAACCTAGATTTCATGCACGTTGAAAAGAACTTCTTTGATCAGTTAATTCACACAGTAATGGATGTGAAAAAGCATACGTGTGACACGCCATCCGCTCGAAATGACATTGCCAAATATTGTAAACATCTGCAGCTTCATCTTCAGGAGGATGATAGAGGAAAAGAGTTCATGCCAAGGGCTCCATTTGGTCTTGACAAGGCTCAGAGAAAAGTTTTGTGTGAGTGGGTTAAACAGTTGCGATTTCCCGATGGTTACGCCTCCAATTTGAGCAGATGCGTGGATATGCAAGCATGTAAGCTACACGGAATGAAAAGCCATGATTGTCACGTGTTCATGGAGAGGTTGTTGCCTACTACTCTGAGGGAATTGCTCCCTTTCTATGTTTGGAATGCAATAACAGAGATCAGCCAATTCTTTTGTGATTTGTGTTGCTATACAACATCGATTAGTGACATGGAGCGATTGGAGAAAAACATAGCTGAGATCCTGTGCAAGCTTGTGAAGGTCTTCCCCCCTGCATTCTTTAACTCCATGGAGAATTTACCCATTCATTTTCCATACGAGGGGAAGTTATGTGGTCCTGTTCAATAAAGATGGATGTATCCATTCGAAAGGTAAATCAAAGACCCATGCACATCCTATTTCTTACATCAAATTCAATTTCATGTCATGTTTATACATTTACATACATAACTATGATTGCAGGTTCCTCAATCATTTGAAACGAAAAATTGGAAACAAGGCTCGAGTTGAAGGATCCATTTGCAATGCTTATCTTACCAAAGAGATAGCAAACTTCTGCAGTAACTACTTTCAGGCGATGGTTGACACTAAAACACGAGATCTCGGTCGAAATGTGAATGCCGACGTGGACTCCACAGTGGACGACGCTGAAATTCCAGAGTTGTTCACGGAGGATAGCGGTCGTGTGTCAAATGAGGGAAAAACTCAGTTTTTAGATGAAAAAGAACTCGAGTGCGCTCATCTGTTCGTGTTACGAAACACCGACATTCTTGGTGAATACGAAAGGTATAATATAGTTTAGGAATGAAGTGTAGTTGGATGATATGATCAACTAAAATGATTACAATGTTGATTTACATTAATTTTGGCCTCATAGGAAGTTTGAGGACTACGTTCTTAGTACTCGACCTTATCTGTGTAGAGAAGAAGTAATGGAGAAATGCGAAGCTGAATTCCCTGATTGGTTTCATTGCAAGGTGATGTACACTGTCTAAACTTAGGATAATTATGATTTACTATTCGTTGCTATTTAATTTACTCATTTAGGGAAGTGTGACGGTTATATTCAAAACGTTTATAGGTTGTTGAGGAGGAACAAAACTCGGATGTACTGCGAGCGTTGTGCATGCGCTCTTTCAAGCGTGTTCGAACTTGGAAGCAGATTTTTGTCGGTGGCTTTAATTTCCATACACATGCCCATGGCAAGCACAAATCTACGATGAATTATGGC